TGCAACAGCATAGAAATGATTTTAATATCTTTAATTTTTTAACATTTAAAGAACAACAACAATCAATATTTTAAAACTTGGCTTAGGCATTTAAAGTAGTTTGAATTTAATGACTCAGAGTTTTGTATTTACCAATTTATAAGAATTCACTGGTTTGAGTTTAGTTAACTAGAGTTTTCTCATTTTATCAAAAGTAGTTCAGTTTCGATTTAGGAAGTTGTTTTAGTTAATTAAAAAATGAGCTAAAATTATTTTTGAAGCTTCTGGTGTTTCACAATTTCTCAGCTTTCGCCACCTATTCAATCCTCTCCTCCAACAGATTTCAAAATATTGAGAAGCCAATTTCATATTTCATCCCCAAAAAGTGGCCCTAATTTCTCCCCGGATATTACTTTGTGTGTTGCACTTGAAGTCAGCACTATTCCCGGCTATCCTCCAACCGGAAGCCGAGTCTCCTCTATATGTCAGCCCATCAAAACCCCATTTCCAGCCCCGGAATTGCCCAATCGCGTTTTAGTAGCTGTTTACCGCCGGCTGCCCGCTTTTTGCAAACTGCTTAAACCATTGGTATTTGGATATTTTTAACTGGGCTTACTATTAGTGTAGGGAAAATAGTATTAAATCTCTCGCTCTCTCTCTCTCACTCTCTCGCTCTCTCTGTCTCTCTCTCCCTCTCTCTCTTTCTCTCTTTGTCTGCTAAATTTCACAATCCCTTTAAAGTTAGTTTTGAAGTTAGTAGAATGATTCCCTCCTCAAAAATCAAGACTAGCTTGCCCTGGTCTTCGCCTGAAAACCCACACAAAAAACCCAAAAGACACTATCCCTTGAAAACTTTCCACATCAATTCCAACGTCCATGTTGCCGTCCAGGTTGTGGGCGGCCATAATCGGCGAGTCAATGTTATAGCGGCCAATTCGACCAGCCAAAAAGTGGCTCATAAATCGGATGGTAGTGGCTTGATGGCCGTGTGGTTGAGTTTTAATTTGGCTGCCAGAGTGGGAGCAAACCGTAAAAATACGATTTTGCAACCGGACGTGACGCCCACTCAGGTTTGTGGAGTGAGAGAGGGAGAGAGAGAGAGAGAGAGAGAGAGAGAGAGAGAGAGATTGAGAGAGCGGGATCGGGAGAATTCATGCTTAACTTGGGCCCTTTAAAACCAGCTACTAAGAGATGAAGTCATAATTTCCAAGCCTAAGCCAAACCTGCCTAACTAAGCCAAACAGTAGCGTAAAACCTAAGTCAAAGCCTAAGCCAAGCCTAAGCTAAGTCTAACGAAGCCTAAGCCGAGCCTAACCCAAGCCATAGATCTCTCCATTACACCTCGTTTTACCCCTTGCTCTATATTGCCTTTGGCGACTAGCTCTACTAGTTGTATGTAAAAGAGGGGCTCTTCATTAGGCGAATGTCATCCCATCTCATCCCGATCGCTCGTTTTTCACCCTCCTTTCCTCTTTCTCTCTTCTCTGTTGGTTGAGTGTCATATGCAGAGCTTCGATAGCCCCCAGATGAGCTTCACATTCCCCTCCATCAGTCCCATCCCCCCATTTCATTGCTCAAAGGGCTGCATGTAGTGGGTGAAAAGGGATCGCTGACTAATTTGGGTTGAATTTACGTATCTTCTCATGAAAGGCTTCATCTATTTTGGATGGTTTTGAATTTAATTGATTGACTCGTATTCTTGTCCTCAATGTGCCGTTAACCCGGTTAAGCAGCTAGCTTCTGTCTAAAAAGGCACAAAAAGTAAACCTTGGCTTCTTGCCAACAGTCCAAATCCAAAATTTTTCTTAACCGTGCCTTTTAAAGGTGGTGAACAGCGCAAAAATCGACCCATTCTGACGACTAGGTATCGACAGTTACCCGGTACTCCAAAAGAGCGCCCCGATTTATGCTCTAACGCAACGTAAATTAAATTCTGTATCCTCTGTCGAGACCTAGTCACGGAAAGGGGTTGATTCTGGCACTTTACAGCCGTTTAACGTATTTCCTATCATAGAAAGCCTGGACTAACTGCTGTTGTCCATTGTGACCATGCGTAGTCGAACGCCTAAAACCAAGCGTATGAAGCTGCCAAGATCTCACACATTTTTCTATCGCCGTCCCTTTAAAAGCGCTCGACCTAGTGTTATCCCCCTAGAATGCATGATCATTACCACACCCATTGAAGCCCTTCAAATCCCGTACCCCACCTCAGCACCCCGCCATTGGTTCCACTAATCAGCCTAGCTAGAGTAAAAGCCCCCCACTGGTCGCGGGCCGTTTATAAGCTTCAATCCCCCCTCATTGCCCGAGTTGATTATTAGCTGGTTGGAAGCTGACAGAGAGAGAGAGAGAGAGAGAGAGAGAGAGAGAGAGATAGCCGCTACCTGGTGTCCATGTCCACCCCATTTATCGCCAATATCCCGTCGAGACCCCGATAGACCTATCGCAACTCTTGTTCGGGCCCCCAATTAGCCGTTTTATGGGCCCGGGGTCGGAACCTATTCCAGCCACGCGCAACATTCTACCATATTTGCCTTTGTAGGCCGATATTCCATTCGACTCCTATATTTGTCGTTGCGTCGTTTGGATAGAACGGAACGCTGAGGGTTACGGTAGGCGACCAAAAAGGGGACACTTAAATGGACTTTCCGGTCCCTTTAACCGACGAAGCCAACTGATTACCCTATGGAAAAACCGGAAACAGACGATCGCTCCTTTTGAAGAGACGAGAAAGGGAAAATTTTGCTTTTTCTTGATTCAACCCTAGAAACAATAGCCATACCTTCAATGACCCTTTAAAAACTTTAGTTTCCTTTTTCCAAAAGTCCGCGTAATATTCTAACTTTGTATTGTATTGTAACTGCTTCATAATCACCGTTTTCGGCTTCCCCTTCGGGTCTCACTCAAATTACGGGGGATAGCCCGGAGACGACACACACCAAATTACGGTCAGAATCATAGGCTATATGGGGGTGTGAATGTGTAAATTGAATGAGACGTCTTCTCTCTCGCGCTCTCTCTCACTCTCTCTCTCACTCTCTCTCACTCTCTGTCTCTCTCTCTCTCTCTCTCGTTGTCTTGCTTTTTGAAAGGCTTCTTCCCCCCTCGGCTAATCGCTATTTTCGGCCAGCGTCCATCCTGAGAGCCAGCCGAAACCCCACCATTTCCATAAGGCACTCCCCTCGACGGCTTTCCCGGAAATCGGCGCAATTTGAGAATTTGTGAAAGGAAATCACATCTAATAAATAGGCATCAACGGGTGTACGGTGGAGTGGCGTGGAACGGAATAACAACAGACAAATTGGGGGGTTTGGAAAAGACGGAGGGGATCGTTTTTAGCCATTGCCTTATGAAATTCCTTTTTTGCCTGGCGTAAATGAATTTTTATCTTTTAAAAATTTCGTAAGGTTCAATTGACCTAACAATCAACCCTTTAAGTGTCAGAGTAAGTGAGAAATATCCCGTATTTAAAAAGCCGGAAAAAGTTTTGAAGAGCCTTTTAAGTTTTTTTCATAAAATACGACCATTTTTAAGTTCGCCGTTGCTTTCAAATATAGGTCTTTTCCATTTAACTTATTTTAATTTAATTTCATTGGCTTTAAACCACAAATATTACCCGATATAACAGTTACAATAATTACCCTACAATTCCGCACCCATCCTATGGCCGCCTAAATAGGCCAAAAATTACCCCCTAGAAGATACGTAAAAAGAAAATCCGCGCGCGCGAATCGCCCTCATTTGGCCTCATTATTGGCCCATTTTCCCGGGGCAATAATCTTTTCATCATCCGCTTTTTCTGGGGATTTTTGACGCAATTTACATGCGGCGGGGGCTATTGTTTTCGGGGGCGGGGCCAAAGAATGCGGAAACGGTGTGCTTGATGAGGTGCAAAAAGTCCAGATTTTAGCCGCCCTGGGTACGGTAGCCTGGCTAGGGTGGATTGGTCAAACTACAGTTTTGTAGTCAGAATTTTAGTTTGCCCGGGCTACGGTGTTATGCAAATTGGAGACATTAAAGGGCTGGTAGGCTCCAAAATTCGCCAAAATCCGCTAAAATTTTGCAGTTTAAAGGGGGCGAGACGGAAAAATTCTGCTTTTTCGACAGATCAAAGAGGCTGAAAACCTTGAAAGTGTCGACATGCAAATTTTTGCATTAAAGGCGGGGTGACGACTAGTTTTCGATATACCCCAATTTTAAAGAGACTGATAATGCAGGAATATCTATGGTTTTTGGCCGCACCGAATTCTCTAGGATTTTCCTGGCTTGCTGTATGTAACCCATAACCAAAAATCCCCAGTCTTGCTTTGCCTGTCCCTTTAAAAAGATTCTAAAGGGATAGTGACAAAAATGAAATTACTATCCCTACAGTTCTATCCTGTTTACACCTTTTTAGATACCATTTCTAAGGTCGGAAACACAAAAACATTCTCATCATAATTATGTGGTACTGAAAAAAAGCCCAAAAACGTCGCAAATTGGCGGTAATCTCACCTTTAGGGGTACTGTAGGAACGGCGGTGTCACTCGTAATTTTACACAATTTTGGTCGACCAATAGGGGCTTGATAGCCGCCGGCCCGGGGTGAAAAGCCCGCAATTTAGTATACGCGGGCTTCCCCCTATAATGTGTGCTTAATCCAGTGAGCGACAGGGTACTACGGAAAGGGGGGTAAGAGATCGGAAGGTCATCGTCATTTGATTGATTCATTTTGTGTGGGTTACGGTAACGATGTAGTAGTAGTATGTAGTAGTAAGATGTCTTTGAGCGCCTGAGGCAAAGCTTAAATCCAAACCGAATCCTAAGTCTAACAAGCCTAACCTGCGCTTATTTCTAAGACTAAGCCTTTTTGCTTGATTTTTTTACCTCGTTCTATCTCTCCCTCTGTCTCTCTCTCTCGCTCTCTCTCTCTGTTTCTCTCTTGCTCTCCCTCTCTCTATATATATCTCTCTTTCTCGTTCGCGTTTTTTATTGCTTAATTGGATCTCCATAACTGAAGTCCTTACAATTTCCCCAACTCAGATGTCGGCCCTTGAACCGGCCGTGCAGCCGCTGGCCCTGCCATGCGTCGGATTGACGCCCAGTCCGGATCATGTGAGTTACCAAGCGAAGCCTAAACGAATCCCAGACCTAGGCCCAAAAAAAGCTAAAAAAGCTAAGCCAAGCCCAAGTTAAGCATATTTGTATCATTAATCCCGACCTACGAATATACTTTCCAGGTGAAAGAAGCCGACGCGCGACGCCAGAGCCTAAAAGCCGCCACCGCCTACAGTATCACCAGTCTGTTGGAAAGCCGGAAAGACAAGGAGGTCTCCCAGAGCCGGGCGAGGTATTCCGTCGATTTTGAAGTCCTATAGTCAGTCTATCTTGCAGCAGTTCCACCGTATCCGAGGAGGACCACCCGGCATCAGATACTCGGTGCCAAAGTGCGGATGATGAGCGGGGGTACGTTTGATTTTATGGTTCTCTAAACCTTGACCGGCTATGTTCCACACATTTTTCGCAGCGAGCCCACTCCTTTTCTAAAACCTGACTAGCTACCGTAATCTTCCTCTGGAGAGTACGTTTTCTACAATCGAGCGCTTTTAACGTGTTGATCTATCATTTCGTTCGTTTTTTTGAGGCGTCCGATGACCGTAAGCATCCTTTTTACATGTTCTAAAACATGCCCCTTTACCGCAATTTTCCGTTCGTTGCCGTCGTTTTCTAAAAGATGTCCAGCTACAGTAATTCTCCAGTCACCTGGTTGCATTCTAAAAAGTGCCCACTCAATTTTTCCTAATGTTTCTGCAAAAACGGATTATTCAACGCAATTTCCGTCGCAAGTCCATTGACGAAACTGGAAAAAGAGATGACCCCGGATTTATTTACCGCAGAAAACAGGCAATGAACTCACCGGGCGTGTATCCGTTACAGGATTCCACCTCTATCAGGAGATTCTAATCCCCCAATAATTGGGGCAAATGGCCCACCTCACCGCCAAAAACGATGCGATATAGGTGTCAAGTGGAAAGGACATTAGGGGATTAGCCGAGCCACGGAAGGATTTTGATTGGATCCCGGAAAAGATGGAGAATCACTCAGTCGGCCGCAAACAAATTGCGTGCAAAATGAAGGGCAATAAAAACCTGGGATTACGGTAGCTGGTGCCGGCTTTAGAAAAAGAAAGACGCGCATAGGCAGAAAACCGGTATTTAATTTGGCGAAGAACTTACAAAAATTACCCTATTAAAAACCAGACTTAAAAAAAATTTATCTAAAAACAAAACTTTTAAAATGCAAAAAAAATGTCATAAATTTTAAACTTTGATCTAAAGTGATTCAAAAACGTCGCTATAAATTTTATAAGATATGGAAAATCTATGAATTCTACCGCGCCGCGGCACGCAACGCGTCTATAGACCTTCGTGTGTGTTGCGTACCGAGAAAAATTTAAATTTTTTTCCTCATTTAACTTAAAATTAGCAATTTTACGTTCTGGCAGAGCTGAAAAATCGTATTTCAGCAATTCCGCAAATTTGCTGGGCCCATTCCGGAATTATTATATCACGGAAAGCACCTGTTGACGAGTTAGGCGACCACGCGAGTAATACCACTAACCCCCAACATGTGATTGGTTCGGTTCATAAAATCTCAATCTCTCTCTCACTCTCTCTCTCTCGCTCTCTCTCTCTCTCTCTCTCTCTCGCTCTCTCTCCCCTGTCGACGAAAACACAACAGATTTTGGCCCCATATAGCCCTAGGGCTATTCCTGGCCCTCCCCACTTTTAGTGGCTGACGACTGGGGGGTGGGCGGATTATTAGGTTTTCCGGTGTAGCTCGGGTGTAAACTGTCAATAGGAGTCGAGCGTATATTAATTGGCGGCACTTTCGGGATCTTATTGTTCGAGGGAGACTTGACTTTAGTTGATCGCTCTAGAAAAGGTGTAGAAAGTACGTTAGGGTACGGTAGGGTACGTACGGTTTCGTACTTTTTGATGATAGACAGCTAGTTATGCTCATTTTTCTACTTTCTAATGACTTTCTATATGTTTTTAAGATACCCGTTTTGATTTACTGCTTTTTTAAGCCTTCTGAACTGCGAAAAAAATCAAAAATTTAACTTTTGCATAAAAAATGATTTTCCACAACTTCATCGTAATTTTATGCTTGTAGCATAGTGAATATGCCAATTCCGGCTGCTGTTCTAAATTATTTTTGTGGCCATAGATTCTATTTCCGATTTTTTGAGCGTAAGGAATTTCAATAAATTCACATTTTCGAAAAATCCGATTTTATGTAAATTTTCTGATTTTTCTATATAAAATATGCTCTTCTCTCTTTAGAAATAACGCAAAAAAAATTATATTTAGCTCTAAAGATTCAAAAATATTGGAGAACTACTTCTAAAATTTTAGAAAGCTAATAGTTTATTTTTAAAACTTTAAAGTGAATTTACACCCCAAAATAGTACAGTAGATTCCATATGGCCCCAAAATTTTATACCCCCTAAAAGATTATTTACACCCCCATGGGCCCGGTGAATGAAAACTCGTAGGCGGGCCCGGTTTGGTCCTTCCGGTTATAATATGGTCATTTTCCAGGCGGGACTCCAGCCAACCTGGTTAATTGGGGCCTAATTCCCGTGGTCACACCATTGCAGGCGGAGAGACTTGTACAGTGGTGCCATACCCCCGGCATAAATGGGCGCGTTTATATGGATGGCTGGGCACGAATCCGGGCTTACTTTCTCTCGCTCTCTTTTTCTCTCTTTCTCTCGCTCTCTCTCTCTCTCTGTCTTTCTCTGGCTCGCTCTCTCTCCACTACGGCTTCACCAATTTGAAAAAGCTCATGATTTTTCCGATGCACTACTATAAACGTGGCCCCGTGACCAGTCAAGGATTACGGTAGATATGTTCCTTTTCATGCCTTAATTACGGGAATGCGATGGATTTAAAAGTACACTGACACCAAGTTACGGTAGAACGTGTTATTCCGATTTTTTTCATCCGATTACCGTAGGCATTACGATAGTCTTACTTAGAGAGGTGACACCGCCTACGGTAGAATGACTTAGCAAACGCTAAATTTTAGCTTGTAAATTTCGTGATTTGGATAAAGAGAATATCAGATGGTGTATCTTTGAAAAACCGGTTTCCGTGAATACAGTATCTTTTTCATATCCGTTTTCTGATAAAAGGTCTTTAATTTTCAACTTCTTAATTTCCGCCTTCTTTCCAAAGTCACGCATTTTGCAAAAGTTTCGCACCCGCATTTCCAATATCCCCTCCAAAGATTCCCACCCCAGCCAATTTGGGGCCTATTTTCATCGAAATTGCCGTAAATAGTCGCTGCTGCTGCTGGGGGATGGAATCGGGATTTGTGGGGATTCTATAATCTGCCCCCCTCAGGCGTGGCCTTCTAAATCCGTTGGGTGCGTCAAAATGACAGTAGTGTTTGTGCTCATTGGATACTCGCGGATTATCCCCCCCTTTGCGGTCTCTCTCTCCCCCCCTCTCTCTCTCTCTCTCTCTCTCTCTCTCCGCATATACCAACATATCGTAGCCAGTGCTTATTATTATCAGAGGCGGGGTTGCGGATTTATCCTTTTGGCGTCACGGCAAAAATTGGGCCCCTGGCCTATTGTCATTCAGTATTGTTTCGTACTTGAGTGCAGGATTCTTGATGCTTTTTTTTGAGCGAATAATTAGGTTAATACGATTTTGCTACCGTACCTTAGCTACCGTAATCCTTCAATTTCTCCTTTTTCCAGGTCACCTTCCGCCTCAAGCGCGGACGCGATGGCCGCATCCGTTTTCCCGCATTTCCAGTTCCCGAACCCAGCCCTCCTTGCCTCGACTATGGTATGTCTTACGGAAAATGAAAGTATTCTCTATTACGCCTTCACAACCCCCTTTAATTTCCTGGCGTAACCAATTAAAACGAACATTTTCAGATGCCCGACCTCTCCAACCCCCTAGGCCTAGTGGGTGGAGGGCTAGACATGGCACAGGCTCAGCATTTGCAGGTAGGCTTGGGCTGAGGGTCTTGCTTTTTGGATACTGTAGCAGGTGTTACGCTTTCTTTAAAGAAACGAGCAACTACGCAATGTCTTGATAGCCACGTTTTGCTCCGAAGTACGCGCAAATTACTGTTTCCTAGCTTAAAAACCGGTTTTTTTCCAGCGAAGCGTAACTGTCGAGACCTAGTCACCGGTGGAAGTAGATATTTACCTAATGGTCGTTTTATGCAGAAATATAGCTCTGTTTGTAGCAAACCTACCTCTCCCTGCTACTAGGGCAGCAGCTGGGCGGCCAGGCGACGTCACCGTTAAGGATGATGTCGGCACAGGAACAAGGTATGTGCAAAAATATGAATTCTTTGTCTATGTCTCTCGCTCCCTCTCCCACGTTCACTCACTCTCTCTCTCTCTCTCTCTCTCTCTCGCTCACTCTCTCGCTCACTCTCTCTCTCCTCCAGTGCCATAAAATAGTGTGTGGCCATCCCAAAAGGGTTGTAGCGAATCGTCTTCTATCAAATGTCCTCCCTCCCCCCCTTCCCCCTCTCTATTCAATTGAATGCCCCGATTCGGGGCGAGATCGTGGCTGTAAACTATTCACAGAATTCATCTCCTCCCCCGTCCCTAAACACTCGAACGAACATTTGTGTTGCGATAACGGGAACGTAGTCGAGGTAGATTCCCGAGATGTTCAAGCAATTGGAGGGGTCAACTGGGAATTCTTAGAATTTATTGATTTTAGCAATAGTTTTTTAAAGTTTGAAATGTGCCAGAATCAACCCTGCTTCAACGAGGTCTAGCCAGTTACTCCAGGCGTCAAAATCCCGTTTGGATCGTTCAAAAAATGCGGCCGGATGTCCTCACTGGATGTCCTCACAGAGAGAGAATGAGAGAGAGAGTGAGAGAAAGAGAGAGAGAGAGAGAGAGAGAGAGAGAGAGAGTGAGGAGTGAGGACTCGTCGGCTGGATCTTGACACCTAGGTTTCGCACCAAATGACGCTTCATTATCATTTTCATAGCTTAAACAGTGAACGGTTAGATAAGGCGAAAATCGACGCTTTTGTCGATTGGGTCTTGACGCCTACGTTTTTCGCAAATGACGCAAGAAAATCAATTTAATAGCCTTAAAAAGACATATTTTGCAGTGATACATACATGTCGTGACCCAACTGCTAAAAAAAAACTATATTTTGGCTTCCTTATCCCTTTAAAACGCGGGCCATCGCCTCGTTTATCCCCCGAAAAGCCATCCCGAAGCGCCCCGGGTACATAAAGGCAGTTATGTGGTGGATGGGCGTGGATGAAAGGGTCTTTGAAGGGGGGTAGAAGAGGTAGTCGAAGGGGTTGAAGGGGGAATAGAGTCGAACCCCGGCTCCTCTTCTCCGCTCATCAATTGCCCATTCATCCTCATGAAATATCATCATCCTCACCCTCCACCTCAACACACAACGGGATGGGCGAAATCTGCTTTTAGGGCCCACTTCAAAATAGCCTTCAAGGGCTTTTCGAACAATTTTAGGGAACTGAAAAAATCATATTTTTTTGCCAAAAATAGCCAAAATTTTAACTACGTTGTTCGACAAAAGTCATAAAAACATCATAAATTAAATCGTGATTAATGGACCTTAAAATATAAATTGCAGTGAGTTTTACTAACTGAGGGTTTTCTAATTTTCTAACACAATTTCAATAATTTTAAATGTCTTTTCGACACTGGAAGGCGATTTTAATTATTTGTTTTAAGCGTTGACTTGTCTTGTTTTGAATTTTGACGACATTTCTAAAAAGTTTAAAAGATCGAATTTACAAAATGAGCGTTTTCCACGTTATTTTCTAGAAATAGCTTCAAATTTGAGCTGTAAATTAGCATATTAACAATTAAATACACTAGGTTCGCAACATAAAATTACGTATTTTGACCACACCAATTTTGCCGAAAGATCCCCCTCCGTCGAAAAGTGATTTCCGGAAAATGCCCCGGCCATGGTTTCGCACCTCCCTGGGTGGATTTTTGGTATTTTCAGGGGGATAATCTACCCAAAGTGGGGGTATATTTAGCCCCCAGGACGTCGATTGTTTTTTGGTTTAATGCCACGATGAGGTAGATGGGGGATTGTGACGGAGATGGAGATACTGAACGGCTTATGGTTAAATGGGGGCTATATTAAAAAGGAAACAGTAATAAAAGAACGGTGAGAAGTCGATGGAGAGATGAAATTACTAAAAACATTTTCCAGCAGCTCGGACTGCGGCCGCGTTGAATCCGTTTGCGTTGCTGTCACAGTTGAACGGTGGATCGCAACAGGTAGGGAAGGAGCGAGAGAGAGAGAGAGAGAAAGCGAGAGAAAGAGAGGGAGAGAGAGAGAGAGAGACTGAGAGAGAGAGCTAAGAAAAACAATCCAACATTTCCAGGCAGCAGCCCTAGCCGCCCGATTGCAACACCCCCTCCAGCTCTCCCCCAACAGCCTGAACATCAACAAGAAGCAGAGCCGCCCCACCTTCACCGGCCACCAGATATTCATGCTGGAGAAGAAGTTCGAGCAGACGAAATATTTGGCCGGAAATGACCGGGCACAGCTCGCCCAGGAGCTGAACATGAGCGAGAGCCAAGTCAAGGTGGGCAGGCCAAGCCATTTAGGTCGAATTCAAGTCCAGGCTAAGCGTAAGGTAACTTAAGCTAAGCCTAAGCGAAGTCTAAGCTAAGCCTAAGCTAACCCTAAGCCTAAGCCTAAGCCTAAGCCAAGGAAGCGCGAAACTTGAAAATTCGGTTCAGTTTCGACCTCTTACTCCTTCCGGACCCCCTTAACTTTTTACCCATGTTGTCTCGTTCTCATATTTGAGTTTGGGGTGCAATGAGTCGTGCTCGAATTGGTGGACCTTGGCTCCCAAGGCGCCACATTAAACCCCGGAAATGGGGTTTATAGGCGTGACATTGGTCGGAGTATCTATTTCAAGGATACGGTACCCGAGGGGTGTTCTTTAACTTCTTAAATTTTGCTAAATGGACAGAAAGGCGCGATATTCCTATGGATTTTTGTGGATTTTTAACAATCCCTTTAAAACCCCGGGTTTCAATGTTTTCAGTCTCTTTCCGCACGCTCCATATAATCGAAATAACCCACCTGAAAATGCTCTCAATATTCTCTGGAGACCAAATAGGGGTTGTCATCACATCCGGCCATTTCTTTCCCTACCCCTCGAATCCATCCTCATTATGCTAACAAGAGTCAAAATGGGGATGTGGGCTTCTCCCCCATCGTCCACCGTATAATACGCCCCTTGGGAGCATGGGGATTGGGCGATCCAAGCTTCAAAAATGGTGGACTGGTCGGGAATTTGAATTAACCGATCTAGAAATTTTATTGAAGGGCGGGAAGTGAGACGTGCCTTGGACCGCTTTTGCAAGCCCAAGCCGCCTAAGCCCATGCCAAAGACTGAACCTAAGCTTGACCCTGCCTGATCCTAAGCCCAAGCCAAATCCTAATGCTAAGCCTAAAGCTAAGCCTAAGCCCTGGTCAAAGCGTAAGCCCGAGCGTGAGCCTAAGCCTCAGCCGAAGCCTGAGCTGTGCATAATTTCAATACCAATATTTGATGCGTTTTAACGATATGTGGCTGTCTACACCAGCGTACAGATGGGGTTGATTTTCGCGCGATTTCGAGCTGATTAAATCTTAGACTTTTAGTGCGGATTTAAATCTTCGCTTTCAGGTATGGTTCCAAAACCGGCGAACAAAGTGGCGCAAGAAGGAAGCGGCCGATAATGCCCTCTCCGGAAAGGACCGACACTCCGAAAGCCCTCAACCACCTACCCTCCAGGGCCTCCATGTGTTCCTAAATTCTAATTAGTATATTGGCGAAATATGGTTAATACTTCGCCATATTTCTGTGTACGACATGCCCTTCCTCGCCCCTTTACTTGCCATTAAATAGCTATAAAATAAGGAAAATTGATTTAAAAGGAAGTCGACGTCAAAGCCTTTTTTCCAAGGGAGATCCCATTTCCGCTCTTCAATATTTTTTGACTTCACACGTCCTTTAAATTGGTTTTCCAATTAAAAGTGGGTCTTTTAAAACGTACCCGGAATCGATGTGTAGCTAAAATTCCCCTTGAATCTGGCTGGAACATGACCAAAGCGTTTGTCTCTCCCCTTTTTCTGTATATTTTCCGCTACATTTTACTACTTTTCCGATCACCCTTTCATTAGTGCATCGAGAGCATCGACCCCGAGCTATTGTGATAAAAACCTGGCCGAATCCAGTCCACCCCCGCTATTTATCGATTTTTAGCCTGAGCTAAGCCTAAGCCAAGCCTCAGCTAAGCCTTAGCTAAGCCTCAGCTAAGCCTTAGCTAAGCCTTGCTAAGCCTTAGCTAAGCCTCAGCTAAGCCTTAGCTAAGCCTTGCTAAGCCTTAGCTAAGCCTAAGCTAAGCCTTAGCTTAGCCTAAGCTAAGCCTAAGCTAAGCGATGTTAAGCCTAGAATAAAGCCAAAAATGTGCATTCTTATTCTTATTTTTCAAACCCCTAAAATGTGCCCCATTCACTTTCCCCACTTTCCACAGCATTCTGGCAATAAGGCATCAGACTTTAACCCTTTTTCTTGATCTCTTTTTTGAGGTTTATTTTGTTTTACTTCTTTTTCGAATTGATGTGATTTTTGGTATACAAAATTAACTCCCATTTAATACATACAAAATAATTGACCGTGCCGTGTGTCTTGATTTTTTTGGAGATATACAAAACAATCCCCTCGTTTCCGTCCCCGGCCGCTGTGCATAGCACACAAATTGAGAAATAAAATGTTTACAAATTAATTGAACACCATGAACGTGTTTATAACATCAAAAAAATATCAAACAATCGAAAATACAAGACCAGAGAAGGTACAAAATTCATTGAAAAGCCCTGCTTTTCGCGAAGAATAGGAAAAATACCAGCAAGCCACGAGATATGAGCGATTCTTGGAATTCCTTTTTTTTGGAATTTGGAATAAATTAAAATCAAAGGTTTAAAAAATTGTCAAGTTTAAAAATCGGCATTTGTTTTGGCGGGCGGCGGTTTCAAATGAGCTGTGCAAATTTCGTCGGGTAGCTCGAACCGTTCGGCACTTGGTGGTTTTCTAAAGATATTGCAGGTTATCTCATTTCCACACGTAATTTTTGTAACTGTGTGTTAAAAAGTAAAATAGGTGAAAATAACACCGTCTTCGATAAAAACAATTATAGAAACCAAGAAAAGGAAACAGCAAAAAGACTACGACACCCCGGATTCCCAAGCCGTCTCCGATCCAAGTACTAACCGAGCCCAACGTTGCTTAACTTGGCAGATCGGACGGGATGCCGTGCTTTCAACGTGGTATGGTCGTAGGCGGAGGGAAGGGCAAGAAAAGCGTTCAAGGGGGATGGCCGGAGGCGCGCTACCTGAGTCTCTTCACCCCCAGTCTCCCCTCTCCCTTCGCCTACGACCATACCACGTTGAAAGCACGGCATCCCGTCCGATCTGCCAAGTTAAGCAACGTTGGGCTCGGTTAGTACTTGGATCGGAGACGGCTTGGGAATCCCGAGTGTCGTAGGCTTTTTGCAGCTTTTGTCAACAATTTTTGTTCAAGAGAGCTTCGAGAGCCGCCAAAGGCGTGTGAAACGTTAGAGCAAGGTGTTCTTCCTACCTTCTAGCGGTTTTTGCTCTTTGTGCGGCACCAGCCGTGGTTGGTTGCACAGTGGAAGTAGGAGCCACTTCAGGAGTCGTGCTGCTTGTAGATGTTGATGGAATGGTGGTGGATGGTATGGTTTCTAAAATACCTGAGGTCAGTTCCGTAATTTTGGGTGATCATACGCGTGCTCTCTTCCCAATGGACCGGCCCCACTCCGTTGACACCGTCGATCGGTACTGCGATGTACGCTTTGCCACCAATAACCGTTCGGGTCCCGGCACGAAGCGGATGTAGTCGTTGCTCAGAATTTACCTAGAAAATTTTGACATCGTGACACCACTACTAATTGCTGCGAATTTAACCGACTTGCGATATTTATTGAGTGGGTGGGATGCTTTACCTCGCCGGTCGACTGTCCCTGGAAAGAGATGCTCCTCTGGCCACCGTCAATTTCCTCCAGAATTCGTGGATCGCTTTTGGAGAGGGCGCTAAAGACGGGCTTGGTTTTATTAAAGCGTTGTATATTACAGTAATATCGTAAGGTCTACCCCTCGGAAATTGTGTAGCAATTGTCAATAAATGCAGTGTATTAACAACGTTTTCGTTTCTTGAGAATTCTTTACATGCGTATCCTTTTCATGCCGTAAAGCTGCCATAATTCGTCGCGCAATAAAAGTGCTGATTTCCGGCCAACTCGCCGACATTCGACTCGCCGACAGCCAACCCGCCGACAGCCGACTCGCCGACAGCCAACTCGCCGACAAGCTAACTCGCCGACAGCCAGCTCGCCGACACTTGAACTCGCCGACAGCCAACTCGCCGACACTTCGACTCGCCGACAGCCAACTCGCCGACATTTTCAAGAATCCTAGGGTCGGCAGAATTTTGACTACACCAAGTTTTCACTGATTTGCTTTCACACTTTAAATGCAATTTTAGGGTAGGTGCTAAAGGTCGCGCAAAATCGAACCCGCATGGCTAGCCTGAAGCAAGCGCTTTACACCACTAGGCCAAGGCAGGAACGGAAGACGGGAGGTGGAGGCGGGTTATGAAGCGCAGAGTACGCTATGCCAGATTGCAGGATTCTGATCCAAACTTTCATGCTAATTTCGAATTACCGGAACCACCTCCCTAAAATGAATGACTACGGCTCATTTTGACCCCAAAATTTGCATGTAGCAAGATATTTCTGTCGACTCGTAAAATACATGAAAATGTCGGCCACTTGGCTGTCGGCGACTTGGCTGTCGGCGAGTTGGCTTGTCGGCGGGTTGGCTGTCGGCGAGTTGGCTTGTCGGCGAGTTGGCTGTCGGCGAGTTGGCTTGTCGGCGAGTTGGCTGTCGGCGAGCTGGCTGTCGGCGAGTCGAATGTCGGCGAGTTGTCCATTCACCAAAAGTGCTACCTGTCGTGGGCGCGGAAAAATTAAGACAATCCACCGCCAGAAAAATCCATAGTTCTGCCTTGCGCACCCCTTTCAAACACAGGTTTATTAGACATTTGACGGCCGATTGCCTCTCTCTCTCTCCGCGTTGCTAATCCGCTCAAAAAATTCCGAAAAGATGCGATAACCAATGCGTGGCTGGTCTGTTGGTCGACCCGTCGATTTTTAGCGTCCAGCATGAAAAAGTCAATTTCCTCGTTATTTCTATTTGCTATTTTGCACCAAGCATTAGCTGGATGCCCCACTAATAGTATCTATGTGGCTGAGATGGGGAAATGTCTATTTTTCGGGGACGAGGGTTGGTATTTTTATCAAAAAATACGAATCTCGAGATCGTTTAGCCACCACTTTCACTGGGGCGGAGACGATTTGCGAGAGCTATGGAGGGAGCTTGATCTCGATTCATAATGCTTTTGAAAATTCGTTGATTTCGACTTATCAACAGAATGGTAAGTAAAAGCAAATCGAGGATTTGAAGGAGCTAACAAGGGATCGACCCCTAACGTCTACTGGGTCTCGACATTTGCTTTTTAAAGAAATGTTCGTGGCAAAATCCATAGGAAATTTACGAAACCAATGCCTTGCACGTCCCTTGAAAATCGCCTCGGGTGAGAGAATTCTGCACAAAGAAATCTACAGAATCCTGCTCGCCATTTGGACTCACACGTAGTACATTTGGACCTTAATTTTACAAAATTTTACAAATTCAAATTCCATGAATGAGACGGTAATTCAACTTCAGCCAATCGATTCTTCTGGCTCGGCCTTCGTCGGCAAATGCCGGCACCAGTTTGGGCGTGGAGCGATAATTCGACTACCAATTTTTACAAATGGGCACCAGGTTTGTAAAAAATCTAATGTTATGGCAGTTACACTATTTTTAGGATCATAAAAAACCCACTCTAGTTTCCTTTAGGCCATCCGGATTCCGGATCCGCTTGTACGGTATTGTCCCCGGCCGAGCAGAGCTGGCACTCGGCCGATTGCAACGAGAGGAATCCGTTTATATGCGAGCTGCCTCAAGGTAAGAGAGAGACCGAGAGAGAGAAAGAGACCGAGAGAGAGAGAGAAAGAGAGACAGTGAGAGAGAGCGAGGAGAGAGAGAGTGTGCGAGAGATTCTCCGGGGATTCGGCTCTAGTAAATTTTTAAATTTAGCTAAACCTTGCCGCGATGGCTGGAGCTACTTTAACTATACGAATAATTGCTATTACGTAAGTTACCATATTTTATAACTTTCATAAAAGTTATTATCAATTATATACCAACCTTTCTAGATCGGCAAAAATCGCACGTTCACCCAAGCCGACGCGTACTGCCAGTCCTACGGTGGCTATTTGGCCTCGGTGCACAATAACCCGGAGAATGAGTTTATTTACGGTAATTGGTTACTGCAGAAATGCAAAAAAAAAACTTTTTTGTTAGAATTAGCACGGACCGACAAATGCGCCAATTTCTCGATGAATCCAAAATATCTAGAGGGCACCGTGTTGCTAGGAGGATTTTTCGCAAAGGATCGTGAGTTTTATGGGGAGCCATTTTGGTTTCCTGGCAGGCTAGCAGAGATTTTTGTGGAAAAATGAAATTTTATTTCAGAAAATCCCACACAACAAGCCTATAAACTTAATTTCTACAACTTCCAGGCGGATTCGTCAGCCGGTGGCTCGACTGGTCGACGCCCGACTACATGTCCGAGATGAGCTGCTACAAACCTGGCGAGAAGAGCGAGCAGACCATGCTCGTATGTTTTCCAAAATTGTCATAGAAATCTAAAAGCTAAAAATTACGAGCCACAACTTAAATTTTAGCTGCTCGCCTTCCCGGCCGGTTGCGGTGCGTGCGAGGCGGATCGCGGGAATTGGCTAACGGTTGATGATGATCGGAGTGGATACGATAATTGGTACCCGAATTTTGTGTGTAAGGTGGCGGCGTTCAGAGGATAGATGTGGAATAAACTAATTTGCGTTGGATGACTTAATTTTGCACAAAAATGCCGAAGGGAGAGAGATAGAGAGAGAGAAAGAAACAGAGAGATAGAGAGAGAGAGAGAGAGAGAGAGAGAGAGAGAGAGAGAAAAGATAGGGAACAAGAAAGAAAGTGATAAACAGCTTTTTAATGGTTGAAAAAGCCAAACGTATTTTTTTTTGAATTTCTATGAGCGTTAAAACACGCTCCACCTCAGTTTTGATTCCTCTAAAAATCACAGAGCTTTTGCGAGAATTAATAACCCTCACTCGCCAATTGCTTGATCAAACTAACAACATGTCTGTCCACTGTCCTAATATGCGCTAATACCGGAAAAAGCCGATCAGAAACTTGGAGAATTGATAGTGCTGCCCGCCCAAAAGAGTTGTCGATTTTTTAGCTCATCGAAAATGAGCTTTGCTAAATTCTTTGTATTTTTCACATTATTATATTGTGGAGCGGCTCAATGTCCAACAAATGCGGTATACGTCGAGGCCATGGATAAATGCTTACTATACAGTAGTCAAGGTACATTGAATGACGTTGTAAAACAACAAAAAACCAGTCACAAACTTCGATGGGGCGGCGGCAAGTTGCGAAAAGTTTGGCGGTTCTCTCGTATCGATTTGGAATGGGTTCGAAAACAATTTGATCACTACTTACCAGGCAGAGGGTAAGTTGCTTTTAAAGGCATAAATGTTTCCGAAAAATTCAGCAAAATCCGGCTGGACTGCCTATTACATGGGGCTGCACCGCGAGGACCGGAATAGCGAGTGGGAATGGGCCGACAATTCGACGGCCACGTTTTTTAAATGGGCTCCAGGTCGGCCATCGATTTTTTTTTCCTTGATGTTTCTAAAGTGAGACGATAAATAAAAAGTAAATCTAGGCCATCCATCAGCCGGCGCAAATTGTGCCGTTCTATCCTTACCAGATAATAGCTGGCATTCGATGGATTGCAATGGCTATCAGGCGTTTATCTGCGACGTACCGAAAGGTATAAAATGATAGCTTCGTTTTCTTATTCGATTAAAATCATTTAATTTATAATATAATTTAAATTGAAAATTTACGCTAAAACACAAAATTTTTTATCTCCCATGAAATCCGATCTAGTCTCCCCGTGCCCGGATGGCTGGAGCTACTTTGTCTACACAGATATGTGCTATTATGTGGGTAATTTGGACTGCATCTTGTAGGTATCTAAGCAGATTAATTCTTCTAATTTAACTAGAACTTAAAATATTTTTAGAAAGGGGAAAACATGACGTTCAACCAGGCAGAGGCTTATTGTCAAAAGCACGGTGGCCACCTGGGGTCGATTCATAGCAATATGGAGAATGCTTTTATATACGGTAAGCTGAAAATACAAAGCCTTAGCTACGACTAGGTTAAGCCTAAGCCAAGCCTAAGCTATGCCTAAGCTAAGTCTAAGAAAAAGCTTGCTATGGCTTCAGCCTTGTAAGCCTATTCGAAGCCTGAGCTAACTAAGCTTAACGTAAGCCTAAGCCTAAGCCAAGCCTAAGCCTAAGCCAAATCTATGCCTAAGCTAAGCCTAAGCCAAGCCTAAGCCTAAGCCAAATCTATGCCTAAGCTAAGCCTAAGCTAGCCTACGCTAAGCCGAGCTAAGCCTGAACTAAGCCCAGAGTAAGCTGCCAGCAAGGACTTTTGGCGTTGCGTTTCTCTTCATAAGATTTCTTTCAGAAATGAGCTACTCGGTGTCGTGCTACAACACTTCGGCCTACGTAATGGGTAGCGTGCTGTTGGGAGGGTACTACTCGAGAGAGCGTAGGAATTAAATTAATGCTAAAATAAAATAAATTCTAGAGCAAAAAGTCAGCAAATGGGTGGACGGGTCGGCGACGGATTTTGTGGGCATGACAAGCTGCTACGAGGGGAAGAAGGAAGATGCGATGATTGTGGTTGGTAACGAATTTTTGAAAATTTGAAATGTATAGATTTCGACTAAGAAATATGCAAATTTCGCTTGTTTTTCTAGATGTTCGCCTTCCCGATAAATTGCAACGATTGCGGCAATTTCCACGGCCAGTGGTACATTGCCGACGACGAGCCGGACAAGACCAATTTCCCCAATTTTCTCTGCAAAGCGCCGCCCGGGCAGGCCAAGGAGGAATAAATAGTTTTACCCTTGGATTCAAAGTATTTTAAGCATTTTTGGACATTTTAGACCAAAAACTAACCGCGCAATGATAGACAATATCGTCGGGTCCTTGATGGTGAGCTCGGGTTTCTAAAAAAAAAATGTTTTTATACATTTTAGTTGCCATTTTTGTACCTGGCTTGACAACAAATAAGCAGCATTCGGGTTTGGGCTATTGCCTAAAACTTTGTTTTAAAAAGTTGTAGTTTCCGGACCGTATAGCTCCCATTTTGAGGTGGGCTTCCGGGCGGGTTGGCTTGATCTTACTGGCGGTTCTGGAGTTGTCTAAATGAAATTTGTGCGTGGTTTTGCGTTAAAAGGAGCTTGCCGAAGTTGGAGGAGCTTCGGTTGAGGGTGTTGGACGTGTTGGAACGACTAAAAAATGTCATGGACTTTTCTGGCTTAACTGACTCGCTTTCTAGCAGTTTACGGACAAACACTTGAACTTGGGCCTAAGCTAAGCCTAAGGCAGGCCTAACTCACCCGTCTGAACCTTTTCCGGTCGACTCGGATGTGGTGCAAATGTGTTGTGCTCCGGAGTTATCGGCAGGGAGGTCGGCGCCACCGAATATGGAATATTAGCTGAAGCTTCCGGCACTTCAATTGCTTTTCGAACCATCGGATCCCAGCCTCCCAGACTGTTCCCAAAAGCCGGATCACCGACCACTGGCAGGAAACGGGCTGTGATTGAAGAATTTATCTGAAAGCTCGTCAAATTAGCTTGATTCGAATAAACAGAATAAATTAGTTCTCTAATTAAGCGCAGAACGTACGTAAGTTGCAAAAAGATGTTTCGGTCTAGCAAAAGATAGTAAAATGAAAAACGAACAGAAAAGGAAACAGCAAAAAGCCTACGACACCTGGCAGGTTCCTGGCAAACAAACTTGCGTGCAAGTCAACTCCAATAACAACCCTAGACTCAGGTAGCGTGCGCTCGGCCATCCCTCTTGAACGCTTTTCTTGCCCTTCCCTTCGCCTACGACCATACCACGTTGAAAGCACGGCATCCCGTCCGATCTGCCAAGTTAAGCAACGTCGGGCTCGGTTAGTACTTGGATCGGAGACGGCTTGGGAATCCCGAGTGTCGTAGGCTTTTTGCAGTTTTTGTCAACAATATTTGTTCAACAGAGTTTCTAGAGCCTACAAAAGCATTTTAAACGTTTTAGCAATGTGTTCTTCCTCCCTTCTAGCGCTTCTAGCCGAGTGTCCTGGCTTTTTAGAGTTTCTTTTTTGCTAGGTTTCCATTTTAATAGCTTTTGGTATTTAGAATTGAGCATTAACTGATAAACTTTTCCCAACCTTCAAGAAGCGATGAATGATGTCAGAAATGTTCTCAGTGGGCATTTGGCTAAACACAATCAACCGTGGCAATTTTTTCAAAGATTTTTACGCTGATCGTCGAGTGCGGCGGGTCCTGTGGCGACGTAGGTAATGCTGGCGGGCCACGAAAACGCGGGAGCTCCTTCGGTTTATCGTGGTGGCAACCTGGAAAAAAGTTTCTCCCATAAAGTGAGCCGACCATCTGTTTTTCCTTATTGCTTAACGGTCTCAACAATGTATCACCAATGTAGACGTGGGAATTCTGAAAAGTATCTGATATCATACTGCTTAAAAATTAACTAAAAAAAATATTATTGTTAGATTACCCGGACTATACAGTCTTTTAAGACCAATTCAATGGCATCATCAAGTCGACCGCAGAATTCTGGGATTACGGGTGCGTCGGCAAGTTGGCCATTCCCGCTTGATCTGAAAAACTAATTTTAATTCTCCAAAACAAATTTTTCTATCGATTACACTAATTCTTTTCATTACCTACTTTTGGAAATTTTGCACCCCTTCTTGATACTTCTGAAACTCGCCGGCTTCTTTTGAAGTGAGATTCCGGCTCAACACGCCGTGAATGAAAAGTTGGCCCACCTAAAGGGGGTGTGGCAGATGGAAAATAGTTACCTCCACCGCACAAGCCGGCCCGTAATATCCGTATCTACTCGAAAACGCATTAATGACATCCTGAGCGTAGCTGGGGAGAATAAGCAGCGCCAAGACGAGCAGGGTCATTCGTTCTAAATTCATAAGTTTTTTTGTCAGATAAAGTAGCCCAGTGGGGTGGAAGAAGGGAAAAACGGGGTATTTCTACTAAAAACTCGTCGAAAGAAAAGTCCGAAACTTTAAAAAAAAAACAGGGATATCGTAGCCAGCCGAGGAAACGAAAACCGAACACATTTTGCGTTTTACAGTAACAGCAACAGTAAGCCAGAAAAATATTGTCCGTGAGTTACGAAACTGCAAACGGTAACGTTGATTGCTGAATACACCTTAATACAGGTTGCAAAATTGCGCTACGAGGGCTGGATATAGGAAACGGGCTACGGTAGCCAGGCATGGAAAAAATTATGTTTTTCTATGTTAGCCCGGAAAATCCTGATCTTAAAATTATGCAATTAGGGCTACAGGAACCAGCTGAGACACATTGTAAAGCAAAAACTGAGAAAAATCATGGTTTCATTACCGTAATCCGTAGAAATCAGCAATTTGGACCGTACGATACCGTAAATCGAACGCAGCTGATTCCGATACATATCTTTACAGGTTTGAATGATAAGGATAGAGGTATGCAAATCGGGCTACAGACTTTATAGTTCCAACAGCTAAAAGGGAAACAACCTAACAAAAAATAAAATATGGAAGTTACGAAACTGTACAGTGAATGGCGCCAATTCCGGCATGAGCACAGTTCGTAAAATTCCTCTACGGAAGAAGGAACGATATGCAAATAGGTGGGTGGGAGGTTGGTTGGTTGTGTGGTGCGGCTCGAGGGAGGGAAGAAAGGCCCTAAGCGGCCGTAAGCAGGCCAAAGCGACGAGCCTCAGCCCTAAACCCAACCGACACGACCGCATGCTTCGCCCTTGGCGTCAGAGAAAATTTGTTGGAATATGATTTTGGGGTGTGAGAGAGAAAGAGAGAGAGAGAGAGAGAGAGAGAGCGAGAGAGAGAGAGAGAGAGAGAGAGAGAGAGAGCGTATAGGCCGCCAAATGTGCGCCAAATACCATCAAACTCGGACGGTGAGGGTACTGTACATCAAGGTATCGTTTGAAAATAGCAGGCTAAGCTCCTGCTCAAGCCGTCGAGCTGAAGCTTAAGCTCCTTCTTTATAGCGTACCTTAAACCTTAAAAGTTATCGTTTCGGAGAAGAATACTTTAGGTCAAAGAATCCATTTTCGCGCAAAATCCCGGCTCGTACGCAACGATACTGTGCCCATACCCCCACCCTCTAAGGCGCGTGGTTTTCTAAAAACGGCTCAGAAAAACTCGGAAGTAACTGGCGCAACCGCTAATTGGTGGCTAACAACACCTCATCTTTGGGGGGGGGGGGCGCGAGTTGACATGTCTTTTTGGGGCCCCAGCCGAGCATTCATTTGAATGTTTGCCCACAGGGGGACCAGAGTTGCCCCCCTAAATCCGCTTTTCACTGCTCGAACACAACGAAAGGGAAGGGAAGAGCAGAAGAAGAAGCGGAACAGCAATCATCCAGCAAAAGAACAAACGGGGCTGTTCTCATCTTGGAAAATGCTAAACTGAGGAATTTGTGAGGAACAATCTGGTGAAACCGTGCTGGGACCAAGCCTGACCTAGGTTCAAGTCTAGCTGATCCTCAGCTAAGCTTGAGCTGAGCCTAAGCGAAGCCTAAGCTAAGCCTGAGCAAAGCCAAGCTAAGTCTGCGCTAGGCGCAAAACGGCTGGTCCCACAAAAAAGCACAAACCGTTCGAAGGTAGGAAGAACACCTCGTTAAATGTTACACCAAAACGTTTAAAATGCTTTTGGCGGCTCTAGAAACTCCCTTGAACGACAATCGTTGTCCAAAAACTGCAAAAAGCCTACGACACTCGGGATTCCCAAGCCGTCTCCGATCCAAGTACTAACCGAGCCCAGCGTTGCTTAACTTGGCAGATCGGACGGGATGCCGTGCTTTCAACGTGGTATGGTCGTAGGCGAACGGTCCGGCAGGAAAAGGGTTCAACAGAGTGTCGACGGAACGAGCGGCCTGAATCTCTTCACCCCTAGTCTCCCCCTTCGCTTCGCCTACGACCATACCACGTTGGAAGCACGGCATCCCGTCCGATCTGCCAAGCTCGGTTAGTACTTGGATCGGAGACGGCTTGGGAATCCCGAGTGTCGTAGGCTTTTTGCGGTTTACAAACGTTTTGCTCCCATTTTGAGTGTTAATTTATTCTCATTAAAGAGATGAGGACGGCATCTGTTGAACCCCCCTTGGGGAGGGGGGGGGTTCAACAGATGCAGCGGCGAGAGAGGGCGCCCAGGGGAGAGACGCAGAGACATTTTCTTTCCCGCGCGTAATCAATTGACTTATGCCGCCCCTATCCCTTTAAGAGGCCATCCGCGAGCGACTCGAACAGTCCGCTAGAGAAAAAGTCAGAGGAATCCTAAATGACGTGAATTTCATGGTTCCAACTCCAACCCTCAAAACCTCTGATCTCCCAAACCTCTGCGTTTGATTTCAATTTATCTTTGTTGTTTTTGTGCGGTGTCCCTCAAGACCCTTATCAGCTGCGAATATGGGGGGGATGACCAAAACGCAAGCGCCAAGCCACCAGCCGTTCCTTCTTTACTGCAGATCGTGCATTCGAGCGGAGAATCGATTCTGACGTCGTGATCCTGAAGTCTTGAATTCGTGACTGTTGGTTTGAGCGGTGATTCGGAACAATCGATTGAGGATGGCTCCAGGCTCGCGGAGGGGGACCCCTTCGCGGATCGGGGCCATGTTTGCGGCGGATGATTGGGAGCATGTGAGTTTGAGAATGAGCATGAGCATAAGCATAGGACGAAGCTGAAATCTAAGCGATGCAAGAACGGTATTTTTGCTTTTACAACAAGAATAAAATTGGTGGTTATGGTCCGTTTTCCTAAATGCGTTTTATAAGTTTTATGTTAAAGTCCAATAACTCTAAAACTACAGTTTTTGTTTTTCAAGCTTTGAAGGCACGATAAAATTCAGAGAGGTTTTTCAATTTTCGCACTTCCTAGCACCTTTAAATGCTTTAACTACGATTTTCCAGAAATTCGCCGTGGCCTGGGCAACCCTACAGGTCCTGCTGTTCATCACCGGCGTGACGGGGATTATGGTGCTCTTCGAGTTGAACGTAAGTTCTGACTATACCTTATATGAGACGTTAAATACCTGATGACCTAGAACGATTATACCTGTCTTTAGCAAAATTACCTTCTCGGACTTTATGGTATCGCCTGGTCGGCCTATTTTCTCGTGTTGTTGTCGTTGAAGCAGAAGATTCGATGGTTGTTCATTATCTATCTTATTTATTCGGTAAGTTTTTACGAAAAGTGTTTAAAGTTAAAGTGAGTAATTTCTGCCTTAATTAATTCTTCAATTAAAGTAAAAATTCAGCGACTTGTTTCCATACTTTTTGCGGCAGCGTCTTGTTGGCTGTTCGTCGCGGCGGATCCGAATAATAGGCCGGATAACGTTGGTGAGTTTAGAGCAGGATCGGCAGGCTTAGGTGAAACTAAGCTTAGCTTAGGCTTAGCTTGCCTTAACCTTAGTCTAACTGCTTTTAGGTGCCACTGAGGTCATTTGCCTGGGCGTTTTCGCGCTGGCCGTAGCGCTACTATGGACACTAGCGACAGTAAAGCTGCGGAATATGTATCAGTTGATGGGCCGGACAACGTCACGACGAGGAATTAGAAGGCTTAGAAGAGGGAGGATGATGGAGGAAGTGATCCTGGATGATCCGCCGCCTCCGATTTACACGGTAGCAGGTGGGTGATCGCTTTAAAGGGGCCAGGAAGGCAAAATTCGCATGTTGGGGCACGAGCACAATGCTCAAAAAGGGACAAGGAACGAAAGCGCAAAAAATACCGACAAATTGATTTCGTTCCAAAAAAGCCCACGTTCTTATTTGAAACAAAATACCCTGAAAACCACCATTTTAGTCGCCGAGCCAGAACTGCCACCAAACTATCAGCATCTATTCCCGGATGGTTATCCCCTATCGGAAAAACCAGCAACGCCAACAGCTCCACCAAAACCAACCGAATTATCCGTTCCAGAGAATTTAATATAAATATATCGTTTTAAGCTGCCAAAAAAATTATTATAAAATCAATATAAAAGTCATCGAATATGTATCTTCAAAACCACGGAAAATTATGACAATTTATTCAAACACTAATCGATGGGTGGCGGGGTAAAGCACATTTCCGGAAATGGCCACAATTCGAATATTCTCTACAATAGAGAAACCAGGGCCACTCGCTGAGATCATGCGGATATCCTAATAAAAATTTGAATTTCTTAATGGTATCAATTTAAATTTTTAAAAATAGAATTTTTTTGGAATCGGGAGACAGCAAGGGAGAGAGATTGGGTGAAAGCAACTTGGTAATTGAGGAAAGCAGAAATAGGAGTAAAAAATATAAGCTTTTTCTGGTATCTAAAAACCTCTCAAATCATATCCAGCTATTAAAATCTTATTAAAATTTTAGATACCTTTAAGACCAAATTTTGAAGTGTTTATAGGGCTAAATGAGCAGGGCATGGGGACAATATATCGACTAGAAACCAATTCAATTCATATTATAGAGAAAATTAATGGAATGTGTGCAGCAACGGGATGATACTCTAGACGACTAGAAGACGTTGCTTTAGACGTCGGTGATCGTCGGGGCCCTGGAGACGACCAAGGGGCCATTTTCACTCAGAGCCGTCGGGGGTGGGAGGGTGAAGATGAGGCTCGAGGAGGGGAGGGACTCCTGGAAGGTTTTTAACTCAGGCTCTATATCTATCTTTCTCACTCTTTCTCACTCTCCCTCTCTCTCTCTCTCTCTCTCTCTATCTTTCTCTCTCTCTTTCACTCTCCCTCACTATTTCTCTCTCGGTCCCTCCACTCACTCGAGTACAGCAAGGTTTCCTCGGCGGTGGTGGCGGCTTTTTCTTCAGTATTATTGTCCCATCCGGCCTGAAAATGTCGATTTTTGAGCTTGAGGCCTTCCCCCACCTTCCGGTCTGCCGTTCCGTTGGTGTAGATGTTTCCTGGCGCTTCGACAACCTCTGCAACGTCTCGTCCAAATATTCCAGTTCTTGCTGCGATGGGGGAACGTGGTTTTGTTCCTAAAAAATGTCAACATTTTACCGTACATAAAAATCTTAGAGATCCAAAACTAAATTCATGATAACTACATCAATACTCACCAAGGTCGGCGTCTTGTCGCCATCTTTTTCGTCGATGCTGGACTTTTTCCGGAACGTTACCGCCTCGACCAGAGGTGTTTTGACGCCACCGATCGGTGGGAAGAAAGAGGCTGAAAAGCTCAAATCATGGGTGAGCATAAGCATAAGACTTAGTCAAGCCTACACCAAGCCTAAGCTTAAACCTAAGACTAAGCTCAAGCCTAATCCTAAGCCTAAGCCTGAGTCTACGCTAAGCCGAAGCCTAATAAGCCTGTTTTGCGCCCTTTGGCCATTTGCCTTTGGCCTTGGTCAATGACTTACTGGAAGGACTATGCAGTTCCGCAGTGCTACATATCGACGGAGTGCGCATTGAGATGTTATCCGAGAGGATGGCCCGGCATCGACACTTCGGACACGTCTGATCGGCACGCTCGAGAAGGAAGGTGTGCAGGCATCTGAACTCAGCCTCATTAAAATACTTCAAATATATCAAGGTTCAGGAAAAGCCTAAAATAATCATGATAAAAAGCGAAATCTGGGCTACCTTTCGTGAAAAATATGGGAACACCGCAGCGCCTGTAGGCACTCGTCTTTCAGCCCGAAACGCTGCCCACAAAAGTTGCAGAACAGCTCCATTTCCTGAAAATTCATAATAAAATCGCTTCAAATGTTATAACAATTTAATACATTTTTCATGAAATTATATTAAGCCAAGAGACCAAATTTAAGGCATAAGCTTTAAGTTAAATCCATACCTGGGTCAACGAACTGGCCGCTTTCCTCGCCACCTCCTCCGAGTCCTCGTCGTTCAGCTGCGAGTAGAGCTCGGCGAGCCGGACGTGACATTTTAGCATCACGTGCTAAAATAGAATCTTATACTTGTAATTTGTAGTCTAACCTACCCGACATCCGATAGCCCTCGCGATTTCCAAGCACTTTTTATTCAGCTGGATGGCCTGGCACTCGCATTGGCCCGTGTAATGGGAACGGCTTTCCGAGGCGGATTTGGCCATCGAGCCGAGTACGATCACCTTTAACATTAGTAAATTATGAACGGTTAAAGGCACTTTTTTTAAGCGGATAAATCTTAAAAACTTCAAAAGCTTAAAGCAGGTGAACGTAAAAGTTAGAAATAAAGGCACCTCGCCCATCCGGTCGTTCGTCTGTCGCATCACCCGAAAAGCGTCCTCGTAGCGGGCCCAGGATTTCTGAATAAATTTTCGGTAATCAGTAGCGTTTGGAGTAGCATTCTGGATTTTCTTTCTGGATTCTGGAAAATAATGCGGTGCAGCTAGATTAAGTATATCGTGAAAATATGGGAATTTTCCGAAACCATGATCATTAATCATTAACTTCCGGTAATTCATCGTTAAAGGGATGCCGACGGCATAGTCAATCGGTTACGCGCTGGAAAGAAAATGTCTCTGCGCCTCTCCCCTGGGCGCCCTCTCTGCCCTGTTGGCTACTTGCCAATTTGTTGATGGGGGGGGGGGGGGATCGACACATGCCGTCGGCAGCCCTTTAAGTACGAAAAATGAGCAAATTAGTAGCAGTCAAAAAGCTAAATTTTTTCACATACCGTCAACGTCTCCTTCGCCTCACTTTCACCCAGCTCCCTGTAGATGTCAGCCAGGCAGGCCATACATCTGGCGTGTAGCGCTTTATTTCCGCTGTCTGCGCACAAGGAGAGAGCTTCCTGAAAATAGTAGGATTTGAAAAATACTGCTATTCTTTGAAAAACATAGCACAAGCAACTTTTTTTGCACCCACATTGCAAGCATCCTTCGCCTCCGACAGACTACCCCGAATCCGGAGCACGACGGCCAAGTGGTAGAGAATGGTGCATCGGTATTTAGCGTGTACATCATCTACGGTAACCGATTCGACGATCGTCATCGCGTTTCGGAGAAAGATAAGGGCTTTGGTGAGATCTCTGAAAGAATGGTTTTGAATGGATGAGCCTAAACCAATGCTAGGCCTAAGCCTAAGCCCGAGCCTAAGTGTAAGCCCAAGACAAACCTAAGCCTGGCTTAAGCGTAGCCTAAACCTAGGCTTAAGCCTATGCCTAAACCTAAACCGAAGCTAAGCCTCAGGTCTAAGCCTAAACTAAGCCTTAGCCTAAGTCTAAGCCAAGCCTAAGCCTAAGCCTCAGTCTAAGCTTAATCCTAAGTCTAAGCCGAAATTCCTTATGTTGATCTCACCTCAATAACGTAAACAGCGACCCGAGCCCGACGCAAATCTGAAGCTCCAATAATCGATCCGACGTCTCGTTCGCCACATTCATCGACTAAATCAAGGAAAATATAAAAAATTTTCCCCAAAATCCCCCCCCCTTTTCCCCCCCTTTTCCAAAATTCCCCCAAAAAAAAAACCATTTTAAAAAACCCCCCCCCCTCCCCCAAACCCAAAACCACCAAAAACCCCCCCCCCCACAAACCCTTCCCCCCCCCCCAAAACCCCCCCAAAAAAACCCCCAAAATCCCCAAACCCCACCCCCTTTTAAAACCCCCCCACCCCCCCCCCCCCCCCCCCCCCCCCCCCCCCCCCCCCCCCCCCCCACCCCCCCCAATTTCTTTTTCACCACCTCCCCAACCCCCACCCCCCCCTCCCCCCCCCCCTTTACCACCCTGTGGTTCATGTTATTTTTTTTTTTTCGTGATACTTTTTTTTTTTTTTTTTTTTTTTTTTGAAATTCGTTTTTCTGATTTTCTAGCTATAATCATTGGTTTTTTTTTTTTTGAACCTGCAGAACTCACCTCCTCAAAGCTCTCCAAAGATTGCTGAAATTGCGAAAATCCTAGATGTGCCATGGCCATGGCTGAAAGGAGAAGATTATTAGGTCGTTTTGGGAAAATAATAAACCTAGATGCGCGTATCCCGGCGTCCTCGGGTCCATGCTTGGGTGTTGGTTGCTGGCTTTTCCGTATGAAAGCGCCTTCGTAAAATCAGCAAGTCTCTCATAGGCCTTCGCCAGGTTCAAGAATCCCTCGCTCTTCATGAAGTCGTCGTCGTGCTGGTTGGCCAGCTCGATTTGCTGGAAATGAATAGGATGGGTCAGCCTAGCCCGAAGTCAAAAAAGCTTCACCTAGCCTAAGCATATGCCTAAGCCTAAGCCGAAGCCTAAGCTCAAAAGCATAAGCATAAGCGTTAGGCTAAGCCTAAGCCAAAGCTTAAGTCAAAGCTGCTTAAACCAAGCCTAGGCATAAGCCTAAGCTTAAGCTCAAGCCTTTGCCCATTCATATCTAGTAGCACCAACCTGCAGTGCGTAATTTAGCATCAACTCGTACTCCCCGGAATCGCAGTAGGCCTGCGCTAAATAGCCCAACGTGATAAATCGCTCATCCGGATTTCTAAAAACAAGATAAAAATGCAAGTGTGAACTCACGTAAGCTTTGTCAGCGCGGTTTTCCATTTTGCGACGGCCTGGGCGGGCTTTCGGGCGTGGTACAGCCGAACGCCGGTCTCCATCCGATTCTGCAATTTGGTTTTTTCGGTATTCTCGGTATTTTTCGACATTTTTATCTTATTTTGTAAACCATCAAAAAACCTACTAAGATAGTTAATTTCGGTTCGAATACGGATGCGAGGAGTAAAAGCCAAGAATAACAATCCCCCGTTAAGCAACCTTTACCAAAAAAAGACGACGATACCTTGGCCATCCGCTGGCCCATGGCCGGGGGCCCGGCGTGGGCCGCCGGGGCTTTCGAGGTGGACGGACTGCTGGAGCAGCTAGGGAATGATGGGACGGTGGTTGATGAAGGATAGGCAGAAGAAGAACTGGCACTACTCCACGACACTCCGCACCTCCGCCCTTCCCCGTAGCCCATTGGCCTGTAAATGCATAGATAATTTGATTTCCTGAGGAATCAACGTCGCCTATCTCTTGAAACGTCTAAAAATATCTGACCTTGTTCCCGCTGTCGAGCAAAAATTCCTCGGGCGGACGCGGCCCCCTCCCTGCACGTCGAAAAAGTCTCCGTGTGGCCGGGCTTCTAATCTAGCACATCTAGCTGAAAAAATGGTGAATGAAATTTTGTTGTCCGCTAGGAAAACGGGTATACAAGAATTTTAAAATAACGAGAAATCGAGATAGCGTTTATCACGTTTAAAGAAATTAAGAAAGAAAAATTATTGTGGATTTTCGTTTTTGCAGCGATAGCGACACGCAACGCGTATGCCGGGCGTCGACGTGAATTCGCGGCTACGCAATAAATAGGACAGAAACGTTGTGTATCGTTTCGTACAAAAATATAGTCGAAAAACCTACAGTTTGCGTTCTACACCGCCTTTTAAAGAGAAATATATATCAAAATAATATAAAATCAGCCCATCCTTCGCCGAAGGCCGCGCATAACCTTAAGCCTACGCCTGAGCCTAAGCCTAAGCCTAAGCCTAAGGGGGCCGGCGGCGCCGCCCGGGGGCGCCGCGGGGGAAAGGGGTCGCCCCCGCCCCCCCCCCGGGGGCCCTCCCCCCCCTGTGGGCCCCCTCCCATTTTGGTGAGGAGGGGGGGGCCCAAAAGCCGGCGGCAGCCCTTAAAGGGGGCCGCCGGATTCCTCTTTGGTTCCCCGGAGGGAACCCCTTTTTTCGCCCCCTCCGCGCTCTCTTCTGTTGTTTGGTTTTTTATTTTTTTTTGAGGGGGGGAAAAAAAACACTTCGGTGTTCTTTTTAGAAAAGGTGCTGTAAATCCGTATTTCGCGTTGCGGCGCGAAAAGCGCTCGATTTAGTGCACCGAACTGTCCAGCCTTGCCCTCGGGTATTTTATAAGGAGGGCAAGACAGCTGAACGATGCTATAGCGTGAGGCCAGTTTTTTTATGAAATTGGGAGGTATCTAAAAAGTATCCAAAAATATTTCCGAATGAAGTGATGAAATATGACAAGGACAGAAATCGTATTACGTCCGCTTACTTGTCTACCCCACTACCAGGCTGGGTTCCGCTATCTGTCTCGAAGATCGCAGCAGCAGCGGGGGTGAAATAGGGGGTAAGGTGAAGCCCCCCAGACCAAAGACAGACACACCAAAATGAGGAATGGACGATAGAAGGAAGGGGGAGGTTGGGCCCTGAATAATGGATCGAGTCACGGCACAAACGCCCCGGGGGCCATCCAACCCCCAAATACGATGGCGTGGAACGATTCCTCATAATGAGCCACGCACGCTGCCTCGGCCGAAGGCCCACGGAGATTTTGGGATGCGTTTTGGAGGTTTATCACGAATTAATGGGTAGATTGGTGTAAAAGGGTTTAAAACAATGTAAAAAAATCTAAAAATGGAAAAACAACTAAAAAATACCTTCGATTTTCTTGTAAAGATGGATTCAAATATTTTGAAGGGCTAATAAAAACTGCCTGGAGGGTCTAGGTAAAATTCAGGGTAAAATGGCGTACAAAAGTATTCCAAAATATGCATATAATCGGCTCCAATAAGAATTTAATAAAGTCGAAAAATGGTGCCGAGCAAGTGAATTCGAACCTAGAAAAACATGTTTTAAAAACAGAATTTTTTCTACAGAATAAGCTAACTAAGGATAGTGGTCTACTATAAAAATTTATTTATTTAAAATAGTGTTCTTTTTTTGAATCAGCTACTGCACTATAATTTAACAAAATTTTTAGAAAATTATTTCTAATTATAAGAAAACGATTTCTAAAAAAATGTGAGGAAAAATTTGCAAAATATTGGCGTGTGATAGCTCATTCGAAAGCCCACCCTTTTAGAGCGTGATGCAGTAATTTTTTGCCTAAAAATTTCTCATATTTTCACGAGCATCCAGAGTATGTCATTATGTGCGATTTCGAGCCGAAAAAACGCCAAAAAGTCCAACTACTTTATGGCAATTTGCAATTTCCTGAAACAGACTCGGAATCAGCACAAAATGCACACAAATGAGCTTGATCCTGAATGGAATTTCCAGCCTATCCAAAATGCGTTACAGTTAGCGTTCAGTGCCAAGCTTAAGCCTACCCCCAAGAACCCTACAACCTGCGGTGATGTTGGCAACATTAGACGGGCCAGAAGCAGGAAACCAGAGCAGCCATACGAAAAGCGCTGAACGGAGCTTGGGGGGGGAGGATGATGGATGGCCGTTCACACTCACTCTTCTCCCCATCCAACCCCATACACTCTCCCATCTTTCTAGGGGCCCTCCCCAGCCTTATTTTTTCTGGGGGTTCAGATTTTTTTGGTGGGCTTCTTCCTCTCGGTTCACACACACCCCGACAATTTGCGAGCCTCACCCTGGGGCTATAGACGAAAAATGATGCCTGGGGGGATGGGGGTGAGAGGGCGAGAAGGTGGCAACTGGCCACCTCGTCTCTCACCCCAGGCCCGGATACTAATGGCCCAAACTTGCAGGAAACGGCATGATTGGGTTTTGATATTGGGGACATTGGTAATAAAGTCATAGATAAATGTAAGCTCACGAAGCCAAAGCATAAGCTAAATTTAAGCCAACGCTAAGCTTCTGAGGAACACGACAAAAAAAAAGCCGAAGCCTAGGAGAAGCCTTGAAAAACAGTTAGAGCCCAAGGAATTGACTCTTAGAAAAAGGGTATACAAAACTAAGAGGAAAATAAGAAATTTTTAAATATGTAGGATGCCCCGGGAAGTTCAAATTACGCTTCCGTTTTCTTTTTTTCTACACCGACGCCAAGGTCTAACAGTGAGCCGAAGCCCAAAAATTAAACTGGGAATAAGCTACGGCTTAGTTTTTTAGTAATAAGCTTGTAAGCCTAAACTAAGCCACGCTTAAATTTTAAGGTAAGCTGGAGCCTAAAGCTAAGCCAAACCGGGATTTGTGTCTGCGCTAAGCTTAGGCCGCGCTCCATTTACGCCTAAGCCTCAGTCGAACGCAAGCTTTAAACCTAAGCGTAATCAGAGCTTAGCTTACTCTCATAGCTAAGCCAACAGAAGCTCACAATTGAGCTCAGGTGAACTAAGCCGAAGCCGCGGCTTGGAATTAAGCTGAAGCATAAACCCAAGCCTCAGGAAAAGAAATCTAAAATCTGAAAATTTGCAAAATTCGCAAGCGCCGGCGATGAACAAAAAAAATTTCAGCTGAGAAAATACTAAATAATTTTAAAAAAATCAGAAAAGGTATAATAACGGTAGTTTCGATTTAATGCGCGGATACCTTTTAGGTAAAATAGGGTAGTAGGTGTTGCGCCTTGCCAAGGCAAGAACCCAAAAATAGTGAAGTTTTCGTAAACGGACAAAATGGGGGATGCCCAAAAACCCGCAACATCTCCGGATGCAGTAGTATGTTTGTGGAAGTGTTTGTCGTGGGCGCAAAAAGGAAGCCGCCCCAAAAGCCCCAATCCGAAGAAGCAGGAGAAGAAGACGCCTCCAGGCCACCGGGCGGGTGTGGATGATTTGTCGGGACGCGGGGGGAGCAATGTGGAGGAGGACGACACAAGCCCCCCCCACATACGGGCCCTTCCAAGCCTCAGACCATCGATCCCATCCCATCCCTGGGCCCCCACGCTGGGCCCTAAGAGCCTATAGGGCCCACGGGGCCCTTAGGCTTTGGGCGGGCTAGAACGGCCGATGAGGGAAGAAGCCTCTTAGGTGCCTCGAAACGTCCACCTTCCACTTCAAACCACCCCCGCTTTCCGGGGCTTTCCGAAGCAATCCTTTCAACTCCACCTCCCCCAAAGCGTTTCAGGGGGTTTCGGGGGGAAATTGCCAAGTCGGTGTGTGGGTAGCTAGAGTGCTGCTGCCTACCCTGGGCGGCTAATAAAATTCGGAGGAGCATCGTTTTTTGCGGGGGCCAGAAAGTGGACAGGTTTTTTGGGGGGAAACTGAATTTGCGAATCAGGATACAAATGAGGAGTAGGCATAAATCAGAGTTAAGCTAATCGGATGCTAGGCCAAAGCTGTAAGCCTAAGACAAGTCAAAGACAAGCCTAAGCATAAAGCCTGAACCTAAGCATCCGCAATCCAAAAGCTAGCATCCAAAGGGATCGGAAAAAGGAGGCATTTCAAAGGGACGGACAAACGACTTAACATATACGTCGTGTATACACACAAAATCTATATCCAAAAACAAATAAAACAAAAAAAACAGAAACGGCTTGTCCATCCCTTTAAAAGGCACGTTCTGGCATAAGACTCGTATAAAACTCTCATTTACACAAAAAGCTTAACAAGGCAGAGAGAGAGGGAGAGAGAGAAAGAGAGAAGGAGAGAGAGAAAGAGGGAGGGAGGGAGGGAGGGGGGGGAGGAGGGGGGAGAGGGAGGAAGAGAGAGAGAAAAGGGGGGGGGAAGGGAAAAGGGAAGGGGGGGGGAGAGGAAGGGAGAGAGAGAGAGAGAGAGAGAGAGAGAGAGAGAGAGAGGGAGAGAGAGAGAGAGGGAGAGAGGGAGAGAGATAGAGAGAGAGAGAGGGGAGAAAGGGAAGGCGAGGGAGAGAGAGAGAGAGAGAGAGAGAGAGAGAGAGAGAGAGAATCGTCAATAGGCGCTGACATAGCCTTACAAGTCCCCTTAAAACCCGCCAAAAAGCATAAGAACAAAAAATGATCCAGACACGCAGAGTTGAGTGCGATAGACATCGATGAGGGGAGGAAGACAGCGGGTTGGTTGGTTGGGATGAGGCTGTCCGGGGATGAGGGATGGAAATCGGCACCTTGGGCCCTGAGACCCCAGCAGAAAACCTCCCCCCGATAAGCACAAAGGGT